TACCTACTTTACCTTTAGTTTGGTTAGGTTTACGTTACTTACGTACTTACTTACTGACATATAGTAGTAGTACTAGTATATATATATATATATATATATATATATATATATATGGTGTTAACATTTCCAAAAGTAAAAGCAATTTTATGTAGATTTTTCCTCTGTATCTACACAATACTCATCCATTTTCAAATTGGAATGGGTTAAATATCAAAGAAAATGGGTGTTAACTATTTTCACTTTGAACAAGAACAAACAAATGCAGAGTGTGATTGGATAGAAAACTGACTGATACAAGATCACATCCTTATAATCCAAAAAAAGAGATAGGCATAGAGTGATTGCAAAGTGTTTGTGATAACCGTTTCTACTTTCTACATATAGAAACATCAAGTACTTGTATGGAGTTCATACTTATTGTACTCGTATTTTACTCAGTTGAGTTAATTTTTTTACTGTTGTAATAGAAAAGTCCATAAAATCAATATTTAGGGTTATTATTATGCTTCTCTATTTTCTGAGTATTTGATTAATGGATTTTCAAATATAGCTAGTCAGTCTCAGTACACAAACCTTAACATTGTTGGTAGATACTACTAACTTTAAATTGTAGCACAAAGAAGCCAATTTATTTTAGAGAGTTGTGACATATGTTAAGGATTTTGCATGTAATTGTTTGTAACTTCATTCACACTAGCTTGAATAAGTTTATTTCCTATCTAGGAGACCTTGTAGCTCTGAAAAAGGTTAGACTAGAAAATGAAAAGGAAGGTTTTCCTATCACTGCAGTGAGAGAAATAAAAATACTAAAACAGTTAAGCCATCAAAGTATAGTCAACCTGAAGGAGATTGTTACTGACAAACAAGATGCCTTAGACTTCAGAAAAGACAAGGGTAAGTAATTTTAGTTTGCCCATTGTTTGTAATTAAAAAAAAAATACAAGAGGAATTGTTTGGGCTCTTGTGTTGTAAACTACATGCTGCAAATGAAATATTTATAACTGTTCAAAATGAATGATAGAAAGTTGGATTTTAGAGATTTTATTTCCTTTCACTTTCTTTCTTTGACAAATAATTTATTCATAATATTGAAATTTAAAAAAATTCAGTTCAGTTTTAAAACCTAATAAACATATAAATGTTGAAAAAAAAGTATATTAATTTTACTGGAAATGCAATGCCAGGATGCATGTCATTAAACTGTTTGAAATTATTTTTGAGTTCATGTTACATTTCACATGTCTAAAGACTTGTGAAAGAAGCTTCTAATTAAAACTCACGTTACATTTCACATGTCTAAAGAAGCTTCTAATTAAAACTCATTTTGTTAACTTTTCAAAATATCCAAACTTTAGTTGTTATTGGAGAACTAAGGAAGTCAAGCTCTAATAACAGTAATAAAAAAATTTACAACCCCCAATTTTTTCATATAATTCCAGTCACTACTTTTATGTAAAGGGTTATTCAAAAGCTGTTTTCCACATGGGAATTCAAGGAAAGTGGTGAACTGCAGCAAAACGTAGAACATTTATGATGCTATAGATCACCACTTCCTCTCTATCTATACATGCTGGCAGGAATATTTGTATGTAAATTTATTATTTTCATTTGCTTATAATTTCCATGGATAGTAAACAAAGTTTGGTATGAGTTAAATGAATGATAATGGTTATATGGGGCAGAACGTTGTTTTTTTTTAAATTATAAAACATTATACCTTAAACCTTTATTTATCAACTTGTTTTCCTACCTGTTAGATCCACATATTACGTCACATTGAGTAACTTTATGATTTTGTCTGTTTCACCACTCAGCATGAAGAATTGACTGAAAAACATTGGGTGAAATCACTTATTTTCTATGCAAAATACATAGCCCCCCACCTCCTAGTAGTTATTAGTGGGATTAATTGCAGTAGTGATTATAACTGTTTAATTAAGAGAATTTGCTAATTGATTAATTGTCAGGCTCAATAATCAATTACATTCAACTAATCAGTTATGCTGACATGAGATTAGAATAGTTGGAATAATCAAAAATAATAACAATTGGAAACACTAATTTTGATTATTTGAATATTTTCATGTGACTGATTTAACTGAAGAACCTTGAATTAAGTGAAAGTGATGATGAAAAATGTTAATATGAATATTTTGATTATGTGGATAATTGGAATAACAGTAATAATATCAATTGATTACAATGATAACAGTTATTATTGTGATCATAATTCTGATTAATGGATTACTTGACATGTCTCCAGTTGAAATAATCAGTGATCATGGGTAATTGATTATATCCATCTTTTCAATTACATCGCTCTAATATTATAGTATTGTGATGAAAAAGTTTGTGTGGCTTACATGTTAATACGTTCCATGTAAATGTGATTAAAAAACCCAGTTAATAACCAGAGGTTAATAAGTATTGTAGGTCTGTTAGAGGTTTTAAAAATATTTAAGGTTATTACATTTTATTATTTATTAATCATTGAATGACATTATATTTTATTAACTAGGACTTGTTTTTTTTTCCTCACATCAGGTGCCTTCTATCTTGTATTTGAATACATGGATCATGATCTTATGGGCTTGCTTGAATCTGGTTTGGTTGAATTTTCTGAACAACACATTGCATCATTTATGAAACAGCTTCTGGATGGACTTAGATATTGTCATAGGAAGAACTTCCTTCACAGAGATATCAAATGTTCAAATATACTTATGAACAACAAGTGAGTCAGTTACATTGACATAATATCCTCACTTAGTTCACTTTGTGACTAGTTCTTAGCTAAATGACATGTTGTTTAACTATTTTCATGTTAAGATTAAAAATACTTTTATGCATCATAAAATTTTGAAATTTCACATGTGAAATATTTATAACCTTCAGATATTTATCAAATGTTTCTTAAGAAAATACATTATATTTTGTCTGTTATTTTTACTAATGAATCTCTGTGTGGGTTTGGTTGATTTGACCGATCCTGTAACCACCATAAAAAAAATGGGAAATAAACATAAATTATGCCTTTTTCGTTGTAGAATGACTACAAATTATAACAAAAATACAAATGTTTAGACTAAATAGCTTAAATCTCATAACATTATACATTTATATATTTGTTATTTTTATTATATTGACCTTTCAGCTGTGCGTGGCTAACAATGCAGAAGTTACTATGATGCAGCACACATGCAATCCGGTTATCGTATACAATAATATAAAACTAACCTTTAGTCTTTACAAAGTGACCTGTCTTGGCTGTGTTTTAGTAAAATACAGTCACGTTTCAATTATTATACATTTCGTATGTATATACATTATTACTATTTACAAATAAGTTGTTAAACTTATTTTTCTTAAAACATAGAACAGTAAATAAAGAAGTAAAGCAAACAATTATCTCTTTTAGTTACGACCTTACTCCTTGTTTGCTGCTTGTCGTGGGTTGCTAAGCCTTATAAAATTTCACACATTAGAGGATGTGAAATGAAATATTTTTTGAGGTTTTATATATATATGTTTGAAATAACTAAAAAAATCATAAATTACTATATTGATACCATAGAATTCCACTATGAATTATCAAGTTTAGTAACTAAGCTGTATTTGGACCTACAAAATATGAAATTTTGAGCACACTAAAGACTCAACTTACCCGCTTTAAGAGTTGTATCGAAAGAATGAGAAAATGGCTGAGAAAGCCACTAGGGGGACATTCTGAGCTTTTGATTGATTATTCACATGTCATAAACAGAAGTAAGTGTATATAAGGGACTGTTTCCAAAAAGGGAAAGAAGTGAGTGGGGCCACTGGGTTTGATTCAGTACACAGCAATATCTCAGTAGATAGAAAGGATAGGAGGTTCTTATTTTATAAACAACAACCACTACGCGAATTTCCTACATAGTTCTTATTTTATATTCTAGCTTGTCAATATCGGTTGCTTGAGTTCGTAATTTGTACGAAACTATAGACTTTATATTTTGACATCATAGACATCTAATTTGAACCAGTGCTGCATTCAACATACCATGTATCACACAAAAATCGATGTTTAGGTGTTTTTTTTTTATATTTACTTTTAAATTAACAAATTAAATAATGTATAATACTAAAATCTGAATTATAATCTACAGTTTGATATCAAACGTATTGATATAAGTTCATAAAATAGTAGTTCAATAAAATTTTGAATGCAAGTCAACAAACGTGATGACATGGCCTTTGACTCGTGTGGAGAGAGTTAAGACCACTATAGGAAAACTAGAAAAAAAAACATTCTTACCTTCCATGTAGTAATATTAATTTTCATTTTTTATTATTTTTCAGTAATGAATCTACTTTAACCCTTTTCTTATTAGAGGTTTGTCACTGATTTCCCTTGATTTTTTTCTTTCTCACAGTGAAAATACATAGCTAAATTCCTTGAAAATGAGTATAATCCTTCTAAGTTGTTTTTAGTTTCTTCTTCAAAAACTTGTATAATTTGATTTACTATTTCTTTTCTCAGGTTAAGAAGTTACCAAAAATTTCTTATGAGGTGTTTTAGAAAATTCTTTTTAGAATTTCAATTTCTTTTATGGTTGATTAGAAAATTCCATTTTATTTATCCATTCAGTTTCAATTTGTTTGATATTGTTTAATATATACCTTTTAATTATATATTTTGTTAATTGAATTAATTATCACTTCTAGCTATAAATCAAGAAAAACATGGCAAAAACTGACAAAAAAATTATCCTGAACTTTGCATTTCAAGATGGCATCATCATTACATTTGTCAGGTGTCATGGTTTTTGCCAACAATATTAATGTTCATGATCAATTATTACAATATTTTCATTAAAAAATGAGTTATTTTATTTGAATTTGGTGTTTGAATATGATATGGTTAATTATAATATTAAAAAAAAAGACTTGCAACATCCACATAATTAATTGTCTCTTTATATTTCATTCAATAAACCTAACTATATTTATCTGAAGTTTTGTCATAGAAGAATATATCCAATATGGTAACTTGCCTTCTCTCACAGGTACAACTATTCTTGTTCAGTGCTGCCCTCTATATGCAAAATTTTTTCACATGCCACAAGCATTGAGCTGTCATGTACTCCACGATCAGTGTGGTTCAACTGCGTCTCGTGTGTAAATCATCATGTGACAACCCTCCACCAATAGGAGTGCAACACACCCTCTTGATGCATGTAATGACTCCCTCTATTCAATTCTACCAAACTATCACTTCTCGTTTGGTAGTACTGTCATCAGGACGATTTTTGTTTGTGCTCTCTTCTTACATTTTTTTTAAAATTTGATATGAAATGGAAGTATTTTTCTATGCTCCCTCCCTCCCACTTCACTTTAACAATTTTAAGTATCACTTACCTTTATTGTTCTTCAAATTTTTTTTGGTTTTCATCAAAGTGTATGTTTCCACTTTGAAAGTGATCTTATTTACTTCCAGCACAATTACAGCTTCAGGTGGCGGTATTCGATGTAGGAATTGTTGGCTTTTATACATTGGGAGATTGATTGTTATATGAGTTAACCATTGTAGGGTCTTGAATTTGTGGGCCCCACACATTTTGACATAGGTTGTTATACTGTTTCAGATTTTGAATATTTTTTTATTTTAATATTATTACTTGTTGTTAATTGGGATCAGTAACTTAAGTTTAGTTAGATTTATAAATACTTATTGTAAGGTTATGGTTTTCAATTAGAGCTTAGTGATATCTTTTGTGCTACAATGTTAGGTTAGGCTTAACAAGTGTCTTTGTTATATTAAGCTTACCTATCATTCATTTTACTGGTAAATCATAAATTAGGTTGATTATATTGTTTTCTTCAACAAATAACTTCCATAGGCACTAAATGCACTCTGTTGAGATGGGGTGTTCCACAAGATCATTTGTAGATATTTCCTCGCAATATATCTACTTCATTAATATGCCTGTTCTGGAACGTACTGACCCATGGACTTCATGGGTAAAGCAGAAGGAGATAGCTGACCATCCCTGCCATTCCTTAGATTGAATAAATCAGGAGTGGTCCACTTTTTAAAATAAGGTTTTTGTGGTCACTTGTTGCACTGTTTGTGGTGTTGATGTCCCTCTGGACTCTCCACTGCATTTTCTCCCCACATTTTCTTCCAGTGGAGTACAGGAGTCCTTACCACTTTCCAATTCCAAGCTGCTGGAGTGGTGGACTATGAAGGTATCCTCCTGAATGTGCTAGTGATATATGATACAAAAAATAATGAATACATTCAGTTGAGAGTAGAGAGGTGGTGATCTGCTGGTGTAGATGACGAGATGTCCTCCAGTCTGATGCTCCATTTCTGAACAAATCTATCTGAGGGGATGTTGTAACTTTGGAGTGAGCTGTCAAAATTGCAGTTCACCCCTTCGATTGGGATCTTTCATCCTACCCCCACATGGATGTCAGTTTCCAGTGGCTGGGTTTTGGACTCAGAGTAGGACCAATCAACATAAGTCCTCACACATGTATTACTGGTGAATGAACATGCGGGTTGCTACGGTTCTTCCTCTTGCACTACTCCTCTAAGATTTCCATATACCGAGGATGATACTGCACTTGGGGTGATTCCTGTCTGATTGGTTACAGCGGGTTGTCACACAGTACAGGGACATCTTGATTATTCCATTTATCTGGATTTCGTGTTCCTGGATCGGTAATTTATAGATCAAATGTGCCCTGTTCACAGATCAGTGGGCATGATATCTCCCTCTCGTCCGCTGAACTTGAGGTGAAGACTGTATGATTATCTTTTCAACCCCCACCATATGGCTTGGTTTTGGATTGCAGTTGACTTGCTTCCAGTATGATCCTCTTTTCTACCCCCACATGATGTCGATTCCTGGTGATTGGGTTTTGGATTGTAGTTGACTTGCCGACGATAAGGTCCTTATCCTACCTCCACATGGATGTGGGTTCCCGGTAGCTGGGTTTGGGATCCAGTTGACGTGCTGTGTATGGTCTATTGCACCCTAGCCACTCTACACCTTGGAGCACATCCTTTTACTCTCACCCACATTACTGTCTCCCAAGGGATTGAGATTCAGATATCATTTGGTTCAGATCATTATCCAAAAATTGTTGTCTCCCTTTTGGATGTGCTCCTTTCTTTCCCTTGCACTGGTCCCTCCACCTATTCAATGTGGGATTCTAGCTAAATCTGTGAGCATAGGTAATATACCATATGGGAAGTTATAGTTTTCCTATACTGAAAATGTATTTGCAATAGGTACTTATCTCCTGTCACACTTCCCACCGTCCCTCCCCACTGAAAACTGGTGCTTCCATTTTCTGCCAAAACTCGAAGTGATAGTTCAGTAGAATTGACCGGAGGGAGTCACATGCATCTGGAGGGTGTGTTGCACTCCTATTGGTGAAAGCTTGTTGTATGATTTACATGTGATACACAGTTGGACCATATTGATTGTGGAGTACATAGGAGCTCAAAGCTTGTGGCAATCAAAAGCATTTTTGCATATAAAGGGTGGCACTGGATGAGAATATTTGTGAGATGAGGTAAGTACCTATCAGAAATACATTTTCACTATAGGAAAATTATAACTCCCACAACTTTCAAACAGATATAAATTAATATACTCAGGAATAAAAAGAACATAAAAAGAAATTGTAAAAATTCCCAGGTCTGTGCTCTAAGTGCTCTAAGTTTCACTTTAAGATTTATTGTTCACACTATATGGGAGCTACTGGTAACTAATATGTTGACAAACCACAGATGTGTGTGCAACTACATTATTTACTCTATTGGTACATAGATGGATTAGAATGTATTTTGTTCACTCCTGTGTAGCTGTTGGTTTTAGTTATTTTCAAAGCTGAGCTTCATTAGTACTTGTTAAGACCACATGCATAAAGGGAAGCAATGAAAGGCTATACTAATAAAATTATTGACTGGCAGAAAAAGAAAATAATGTGAAAAAATAAGACACAAATCACATTTCCAAGGGATGATAGTATATTAGCAAACATACCCTTGTACTTTTGGAGAGTCAGAAATATTCTTTATATATATATAAATAAAATGGATAAATGCATTGTTCATGGATCAGACTCCTTGTAGCTACACAGAAATGAAAGTTGGAACTTGCCATCATTTTTATTTGTGACATACACAGAAAATAACTGATACACAGTATCATGATAGTTTAAACCCAAAATTACTCTCATAATTTCTTTTTTTTTTTTTTGAAGAAGTATTGTAGGATTTATATTATATTTTGGTGAACCTCTCCAACAAGTATGTGTATGTATTAAATGTGGATAGATAAAACTATAATATGAAGTTATTAAACATTTCCTGTTAACTAGTCTTTTTACTATATTTATTATATCTATATATCTTGCAAATATTTCTTTTATGTTCCTAGATCAATTTAATTTATCATCAGTTATAATATCCAAAAACTTTACTGATGAACATCTTTCAAGCAATACTCCATTTATATATGTAATTACTTTCTTACTATTAGTATTTTTATTGTGAAAAAGTATAAATTTAGTCTTATTCAAGATTAACAAACTATTTTCACTAAGCCAGTAATTTAGTCTATCCTAATGACAAATTAACCATTTCAAATAAAGAACCTAAATCCTTATTGTGAGCAAAAAGTGGAGTATCATCTACAAATAAAACCTGCTTTATATTAAGTAATAAATCTGGTAGGTCATTAACATATAATAAAAACAAAAGTTTTTGTGTAAGCATTTGATAATTTAGTAGCAGAATTTAAGAAATTTTAGTATTTGTGTTTTGTAAGTCCTATAAACATTAGACATTCTGTCAGTGAGCTCAACATTGCAGAGTATATGAATTGAAACATTTGAACACTGATTAAAATGTTGACTATGCTCTAATCAAATGTTGGAAGGAGAGAAATCAAAACTAAATTGATGAAATGGTCTCTAAAATTCTAACTTCAGAATTATGTTTTTCTTGTTTGTAGTGTATCAGTTATCAATTATATTAATAGCAATTTTACAGTATTAATTTATTTTTTGTGTTCAAAGTGACCAAAAGCATAATTCATTACCATCTTTTACAGAAATTTTGCTCATGGGTTGGGCTTACTTGACTTTGTTAAAACAGAGTCTAGATGATAATCACACAATTAAAAAGAAGAGTGAATTGCTTTTATTGAAACATTTTCATAATATTCAATATTTTTCATTATTTAAGTTACAGTTATGACTTTAGATATCTTATAAGATAATTTTCTTTTGTTTGTTTTCATAATGTGATATATTAAGCAGCAAACGTCTGTGTGTTTTAACTTCAAGAAATTAATTTCAATACTATATAGTTATTTTCATTATATATATAATATTTAGGGGTCAGATAAAATTGGCTGATTTTGGACTGGCCAGACTGTATAGTGCAGAAGACAAGACGAGGCCTTACACTAACAAAGTGATCACATTGTGGTACCGCCCACCTGAGCTTTTACTTGGAGAGGAAAGATATGGACCAGCAATTGATGTGTGGAGTTGTGGGTGAGTGAACAAAGAACGTAGTAACTCTTATATACTTTTCTCCAATTTTGGTGTATGATAGATCAAATTTAATTTTTGGCTAGAATTAAAAAAGTGTTTATAACCATGCATAATGAAAAGACACTTGCACTTGATTATTAATAAGAGAAAATTTTTGTGATTGCTTAGAGGCTACATTGAAGAAAGTAATCGTGTATCTTCTCATGATTCAGGATTTGCCAAAAGTGCACAAAGTATTTATTATTTGATTTTACTACCTCGCCAAGTATTTTTTCTTTTTTAGACTTTATGGAGAATAGATAAAACTTAAAGCATTCATTCTCATAGATGTAGACATGCATTATCCCCATATGTTAGATGGATTATTGAAAGTTAGCAAAGAGGATGAGTATGCTTTGGACATGACAGCCTTACAACTGAGCCAATTATAGTGAAAACTACGTTGCAGGATCACTGTTAAGATGCACAGTGATCAGATATTGCAGGGCTCTTATGTCGCTACATACAGTCATGCACTGTAACAATGTGATGAAGCTCCAAAAACATTTTAATATACTATACTCACTTTCTGAATTTTTGTCATATTTAAGAAAATATGTAACATGAACTGATATCATTGTTTTTTCAACAACTAATATATTATAACAGTGCTCCAGATAGCTAGCATGTAATATTTTGTTTTACGTATATCAGTTATGGATGCTCTATTACAGATGCACTACAATATGAATTGGTGTGCTTACTGGTTGCACATTGTGAGATGGCAACTTTTCAACACAGGTGTATCATGCTTAAAATGAAAACAAACTACAACTAGAAATGCATTGATACATCAAACTATTGATAGATTGTGGTTATGAATGTCTCAATGGCAATGCATTAATGGTAAATTTTAGAATTAATAATAAGCACCGATAGTACCCTCAACTACCAATGTTTTTGATACTTGCAAACTTATTTTCCCTACTCTTTTTGTTTTATTTAAGTCGTTCCTTGGTAATTTCCCTTTGTGTTAAACTAGTTTTATGGTCTCTACTTGCCTGTAAGCCTAAAAGCATGTGTATCGCATCTACCAATAGCAGTGTTGTTCATGAAAGAGATCAGCCTGTATTGGATAATTAATGATTACTATAATTCTGAATGTACTATGTGCATCTTCACACAAATTAGCAAAGTATGTTGTATACAAAAAACCAGATTTTTTGAATAAAGTATTTGTGTGAAATATGAATTTCGTAATAGGGATAACTTATACGTATTTTCCTTTTAAAGTTTTCATACTTTATTTACATAATCTCTAAAACCTAAATTAGTATCAAAAGTTGTTTTTCACAAACATTGTATATTTTATCCATAGATTTCTCTACACAAACAGTGTACTTAATTCTAGGGTCATTAGAGACATCATCCAAAAATAATCAAATGATTGGTTGAAAAACATGAAATAAATTGACTAACACAGTTCTTTCATTTTTTGTATTGACCATGAGCTATTACACTCTTTCCGGCAAGTGTAACACCTGCACTGAAAAACATGCAAATCATGTTGTATAATATTATTTTACCTCATTGTAGACAAGTAGATGAATAACACATGTTCAGTAGACACATTTATAATTATATAGAATGATTGGCCTACAAAGTACAAATTTGTAACTAGCATACCGGTATTTTGTCAAATACAATGACATTTAGATTACCATGTATTATAGTATATAATGAAATCACATAATAATAATAATATCAGTATAACGTTTTTGAAATTAATAGTCAACAAATGCAAATACTTGTATATGTTATATACACACACATTATTATACAGTTGAATTTGTTGTCCAATTCTAGCTATTCAGTAGTATCACAATAGTTAAAATCTACTTTGGTAATCACCCCTAACCACAACAAGCTTTTGGACAAATCATCCGACATTGGAGGATCCGTTATCAGCCAATCAACAGTTGGTTTTGCATTGTAGGTGCATTTATGTTGTGGATCGTGTTACAGAACCATTTTTGCATGAAGAAACTATTGTTTTTTGTTTTTTTATTATTAAAATTAAAATAAAGTGAAACATTATAAAAATAACACGATTTAATTTTTTATTTCCATACTTAGCCTTTCTATAAGAGAAGTAAAGCGTTGTGACAACTTCTTTTACCAAACATATCACTAGACCGATTATAGGATTTTACAACTGGGTGCACTATTTTGAAGTTGAACTTCGATATACTTGCATGCTTGCCTTCGACGTTCAAGATGCCCCTGTCAAAACCGACATCGATCAGAAGTTTTTTACCTCACATTGGAAACTCCTAAACCTACTTCAATTGTTAATTCCATACTGGATGAAATAATTGAAAATGTCACAATGAAAACAAAAAACACACAGGTAAGTGCCAAGTTTAAGATTGCTGCGTGACAAATAGGCTCTCACAAAAAGTCATATTTCTCATATTATCATCAAATGAAAACAGATCGGTGAATCCTGGCTTACTACGCTTTGCAGAGGTGAATAAAGCATTGGGCCAATCTGGTGCATACTATACATATATTTATATATATATATATATATATAGAGAGAGAGAGAGAGAGAGAAAGAAAAAAAAAATCATCGGGGTGGGATGTGAGTGACAACTAGAAAATAGCATTCCAAGTCAATTAGAAAAGGAACAGTATGTTACATCTGGAATAATGTAATATTAATTATATAATAGTATTGGAATCAGTGATCTAACATATAAAAATTTAGAGTAGCAGTAATTTGCCAGCATTATTAAAAAAAAAAACTATCATTACAAATTACACTTTGAAATGTCAAAAATCAATCTAATTGTCACAAAATATGCAATTTGATAACTTTTTTCAGGTGTTGGTACAAAGGCAGATGGACTTAAATCCATTTTTTGTCACCAGTGTAAAGTTGTTGGAAAGGAGAATGTGATTTTTACTATTAAAAGTCACAATGACAGCAATAAGAAGGAATGTAGAAAGAAAAACTAAAAGTGTGGAGTACAGTGATAGTGATGACTAACTTGATGATGAAGGTTATAAATCTGAGTATAAAGTGAGTGAGTCTGATAAATTTGTACTTCAAACAATTTATTTTTGTGCAAAGTAAGATTCCATGTGAAACCATAAATACGCTACTAGATTTTCACTCCTTGAGTGGTTTGAAAACTGAAATGAAAAACTTAAGTTTTACCACAATTAATGAAATGTGGAAGATCATTTGAAGCTGTTTACATAATAATATTGTGAAATGTCTCAGAAGATGGCACTTCTGTGGTGTGTCGTGATAGATAAGTTGTGTGATCTAGGACTTGAAAGTAAACTATTCATTTGTGTAAAATATGTACATGAATGAAATTTTGAGACATTCTACCAAAGGAGTGTAAAGTTTGATGATTGGCAAAGCCCATACAGTTACCTAACTTTGGTAAATTAGGAGTAGACATGAAAAAAAATGGTAAGCTTATGTACAGATGGAGCTTTTACTATGGTACATCACAGAGATGGTGAAGGTGTACAAATAAAGTGAGAGTTCTCCTCATTTGTCACAAAACCTTCAAATTGAGGTTTAATAGTTTGTATTATTATTTCAGCAGTTCTGCAGTACGAACTGCAAAATTGCAAATCAAAGAACCACATACTTTGAGATTGTTGAGCATGGGAAGTGCAGTTGATGCTGCGTATCATAATTCTTCTTCTTTTGTAACAACACTTTCTGAACAGATGCAACAGCTAAATAACTACCCACATACTTTAATAACACTTAAATGGCTTTAATTACAAGCCTCGTATTAGATGTTCATAATGAAACTCGAGTGTTGTGGATTTCAGCAGAAAAATCTGTTATTCAGTTAATTGAGATCACTAGTTGAGTCTACTTCGGTTGGATTGGATGAGCCAAAGAAAAATGATGAAAATTACAGGGTGATGGTGAGCACTTTTGAACAGAATGTTGGATGTATGGATGAATTAAAACTTTGTTTCAGAAGGTACTCCTTCGGATATAAAGCAGCTGATGAGTAAATACACAGACTTCATCAGAACATCACAGATAAGCTTACACAACAAGATGGAAACATTATCCATAATCTGGGATCCAAACTTGAACCTTCTATTTTTGATGAAGATCTAGCAGATGGGGCTGTTACTGATCTTGCAGCCTTTTATAGAACCAATAAACTCACCACAATTTCAAATGGTGTTGGGAAAAACATTGAAACTGAAGTGATGTCCATGCTTAATAAAAAGTGATTTGGTACACAATGAATGGTCTAGGTCAAAGGCATATTGATTGGTACATGTAAAAAATGTTAAAATTTAACATTTATGTAAAAGGGGATATTAAATTGCATGGTGATTAATTTCATAACATGTCAAATAGCTTTATTCTATTATGTAACATGTTTTGATTGTGAAAGAGCCTTTTCTGTACAGAAACAAAACAAACTCAAGACAAAATTCAGATGCTGTGTGAAGGCTGAAAAAGATACTGTTTAACAATCTTTCTACAGGCTTGGTTGAATTGACGGAGTTTATGACTCCAGAGTTACCATCAAAGTTTCCATACTATAACTTTTAATATGTTTTGTTTATATTCACAAACTTGCACAAGCTTACAGTAAACATTACAAATCTTTTGTATGCAAAAAATCAGAATTTTTAATTGAGTATTTTTACTAAAAATTTCTCTGTGAATATATGGAGTCAAAATTATTGACTGTTCTGAGTGCAAAGTGATATTCATGTTAAGATTTAAAAAAATACTTTTCTTCTGAAAATTTTCAAATTTCATTTGTGTAATCCCTAAAACCTCCTAAATAAATATCAGTTAAAATAAATTAAACTTGATATATTTTATCTGCCATTTTCTCTACTCTAACACTATGCATTCAGTCAATTTGACTGACCTCTTAACCAATATAATAAATACAAAGTAAATCTAAATTATTTTCTTTATTTTTAAGTGATTGCAAATAGTAACAAGAAACTACAGTTGATTAACTTAAGTATCTAAAAACTCATAACACTATACACTGTTTCTGCTTAAATTGTATTGTTTTATTGCCCTTTCAACTGTATCTAACTAATAATCCTGGCAGACAAGTTGTAAATCACTCAGTTAATATGTAGCTCACGTTACCATATTGAATTATGTAACAAAGAATTTTTCTTATTTTTATTTTTTGTTTTCATTATCCTACCCAATATAATCTTATCTAACCTAATAAGTTTCTGATTTTTACATTTTAATTACTTTTATAATAATAAATAAAAAGTACACTTAAAAAACAAAAAATATGGCACCTGGATCTTGTTTTTCTGCTTTCAACTGTCAATAAAACTTAAGCTTACTTTTTTATATTAATGGTACTACTACACTAAATAATTTTTTATTTAATTACATATTGCAAATAAGAACAGAGAAAGTAACATGCAAAAAGCAAACAATGCCCTATAACTATCATAATTTTACTGGCTTTCTAACACTATGTAATAAGAGCCTTTAAAAATTCAGTTAAGCTTATTGATATGATTCCCATAAGAATAAATTTGAAACTGAATGATGAAATAGACAATGACCTGTAAAGGAAACAGTGTAATATAATATGTCACTTGATAGATTAACATCTTGGATTTCTATTGGTTGTTAATAATGTAGTATAAAATGTCAGAGAAAACTGTTGGCAATTTGTGAAAGATGAGATATTGACAGGTGGGCACTTTATGACTCTGTAGACAAATGAGATAGTAGGCTGTAAGAATTATGCTTTTCCTGAGTAATATCTATATTATAATGAGTAATTTAGATTAAATAAATTCTTTACTTCTTGGAGGGGTGGTAAATAAATTAGAAAAGAGGGAAGACCTAAAGAACAAATGTCACCATTCTTATTGTAGGGGAGATTGAGGCTTGTTTAAAATATTTCATTATAAACTTGAGAACTTAAAACTTATATGATATTAAAATTTGATATATTAACTATGTTTTATGCCAAGTTTATTTGTATACAATATTAATAATGTAGTTTAATTAAATTAACTTTCTAAAAAGTTGTGAAATGCACACTTTGGCCTGCCCATGGTGTGAGTGTTCATGAGAATTGTAATGTTGGGCCTACAAATTTCATTGAATGATCCAAGTTCTGCAATAAAATGTGGGACTGTGTTAAGAATAGAAGAAGGATGATGCTTGCACAACCATACAAACAGAGAAATAAGAAAATGAAAGATATATAAATGGGTAAATTATGTAAATGCATTTTGTTACTTTATTGAGGCCAAATACATGAAAAATAAATTGTCACATTTAAACTCCTATAAATGATTCATATGTTTCATAAATCAGTATACAGATGCTTGCCTGTGATACTGAATTACTGACCACCTTTGGCAGATACTGATAGAGGCAAATATTGATCAGTACTGTACTGATTATGGCAAAAATTATCTGGAGCACTGTAATAGTGGTAGTTTGACTATTTGTTTTACAACTCTCAGCTTTATAAATATTCATTTTATAATGAAAATGCATGAGGATAACACACAATATAATATTCTCTTACTTAGTATATTAATAAATAATCGCAAAAGTAAAATATTGTCTCTTCAGCTTTATAAGTAATGAAATTTTGGGAAAGAAAATCTGGTAATTGTATTTTTTTCTCTATCTCTTTGTTTTAGTTGTCACTACACAGGGCTTAAAAAATATTTCAAACTGAAAATTGTTGCAGAGAAAAAAGTAGAATTTGTCTGAAGGATTCTTCATGTTTTACTATTTATCAAGAATGTTCAGTAACATCTTAAGTAACAGAAGATTTAAAGTTAATATAAAGATCTGTAAAAAACATACATGATGATGCAAAAAAGTCAAGACATTTACATGATTCACTTCCTACACTCGAAACCTAAATGTGAAAAGACATTCAAAACGTTTATTTAAAAAAAATTATATCAATTATATATAATGTTTGTTTTATTAAAACTTCTAACACTCACACATCCTAAAGCACACTAAAATAGTTCTTGAGCATAAATTATATGAAAAGACTAATTAAACATACAGTATAGTGTGGAGTTAATTCGGGTTTTATTTGATCGTTGGTCGTGCTTTAATAGCTTGCACGCTGTTTTTGGGCTTACACCTTTTTTTTTTCTGTGATGTGCAGTTTATAATTTTAATATATGTACCATGGGAATGTATATTGCAAAAATGTTCTTTTCATCAAAGTATTTTCCTCAGAAATGTATTAATATCTATGCATTAACTTCATATAGATTTTTGGTTTTCACATTTTAATATTTCAAGTCATAATCTGTCTGAGATTATGATTACACATGCATATCAATTCAAAAATCTTTAAAAGCAATATGAGATCTTACTTATGCTTTTGTGATTTCATTATTAACTTTATGTAAAGATACATTTACATATTCTTCTTACAGGTGCATTCTTGGAGAACTTTTTACCAGAAAACCAATTTTTCAAGCCAATCAAGAAATGACTCAGCTTGAAATAATCAGTCGGTTGTGTGGTACTCCTTGCCCAGCTAACTGGCCTAAAGTTATTCATCTTCCACATTTCCATACATTCAAACCTAAGAAACAGTATAGAAGAAGAATAAGAGAAGAATTTTCTTTGTGAGTAAAAGTAAAATGAAGATGAATTTTTAAATGTTGAAATGACAAGTAGTATTTTGTTCTTGTTTTTCTTTGTCGCTGACATACTCCTATTCAGTGATACAACCTTTAGGTTCCAGTGTGTTTAAATAAGTGGCTTTACATCAAATATTAAACATTTACTTACATGTGATGCCTCAGTAGTTTGTAATTATTGCACACTTAGAAAATTTTATTTCAATGTTCTTTTTTTTTACCAGGCATTCATCTTCTGGATTTTAAATTTTAATGTAAAGCCTATTGGTTAACCCTTTCACGATGGGCTCGGTATAAAATACATGAGTTCATATACACATTTGCATACGTTAAGTATTTATAATATAACTTTTAATGCTGTATATGTATCTTCACAAAATTTGGTAGATTTTTAGTAATGATTCCAACTCTTTTGTACACAAAAAATCAGATTTTTTAATGAAGTATTTTTACTAAAGATTTGTTTGTGAAAATATATATTTTTTTGTTACTAGTCTATGTGCGAAGTGATTTTCATGTTAGAATTAAAAAACTGTTCTTCGTCCCCAAAATCTCGAATATTATTTGTGTAATTTCTAAAACCTCCTAAATAAATTTAAACATTTGTTTTCAGTAAAACTTTATATTTTTTCTGTTACTTTCTCCAGCCTAACTCTGTGTGTGTGTGTGTGGGGGGTCTGTCTCGT